GAGGAGGAGAGAAGAAGAAGAAGAAGAAGAAGAAGAAGAAGAAGAAGAAGAAGATGGAGGCGGCGGCCGGGCGGTAGGGTATGGTGGCAGGGTATGGCGGCGGGCTGCAGCGGCGGTCCTACAAGAAGAAGAAGAAGAAGAAGAAGAAGAAGAAGAAGAAGAAGATGGGCAGAAGAGGAGGAGGAGGAGAGAAGAGGAAGGAGAAGAAGATGAGGGGGAGGCGGAGGAGGAGAGAAGAAGAAGAAGACGAAGAAGAAGATGACTAGCGGAGCAGTTCTTTTTTTTTTTCCTTACCTGTCGTTTATCTCGCGACCTATCGTTGACGAATGGAACAAAAAAACAAAAGAAGAAAAAGAAGATAGTCGGAAGAGGAGGAGGAGGAGAGAAGAAGAAGAAGAAGAAGAAGAAGAAGAAGAAGAAGAAGAAGAAGAAAAGGAGGAGGAAGAAGAAGAAGAAGAAGAAGAAGAAGAAGAAGAAGAAGAAGAAGAAGAAGAAGAAGAAAAGGAGGAGGAAGAAGAAGAAGAAGAAGAAGAAGAATAAGAAGAAGAAGAAGAAGAAGAAGAAGAAGAAAAGGAGGAGGAAGAAGAAGAAGAAGAAGAAGAAGAAGAAGAAGAGGAAGAAGAAGAAGAAGAAGATGAGAGGGGGACGAGCGACGGGCGACTCCACAACGCTGGCGACAGGCGACGGGCGACTCCACGACGCTGGCGACGGGCAACGGACGACTCCACGACGGCGGGCGAGTGCAGCTCCCAGGCGATGGCGACAATGGGCAGCGCGAGGAGCGAGGGCGGCTCAACGACGAACGCAGGCGACTGGAGAAGGGGCCCCGTTTGGACAGCCGATGCAGGCCGCCCCAGCCAGTCGATTGTTCAAACGGGGCCTTGGTTTTCTCTCCAAAAAACAAACAGCCCTCTGGCCGTCGATCATGGATGATCGATGGCCGGAGGGCCGTCAAAAAAAAAAAAAAAAACAGCCCTCACGGGCCCGACTCGCCGTTTTCTGGGCGTGGTCGGACCCGGTAGGCCCTGGGGACTCTGTGGGGAGGCCAAATCTTGGCGATTCGGGGTCGGAAACCCCCCGCCAACAAGGTGTGCTGGGGGTGACCGGCCCCCAACCGGGCCGCCCGCCCGGCCAGGCCGCCCGGGACCTCCCCCGGGCAGGCACTGGTCGCCCGGGTGCCCCGGATCCGTACTCAGATGTAACTGGAAAAAAAAAAACAAAAAAAAAACGTATGTTGTGCAGCATTGCAATACAAAAATCTTTCGGCTGAGGACCTACTCGAAATTTGTAGCCAAATCCAAGGGAAAAAAATAAAAACGTTTTTTTTGTAAATATAAACTTATTAAAAAGGGTTTTTTAAACTTTTTTTTACTTTTTTAAACTTTTTTTTCAATCCGGACGGTCTGGAGCAGTCCAGACACAGGTCCGGCCAGATGTGTCTGGAGTCTGGACTGGTCCGGTGTCCGGGTCCGGCGTAGCCATGCTTTTTTGTACTTTTTTTTGGCTCAACTGCCATCTTCTCATTTTGGAACCACCCAGTAGTTTTAGAGTACAATTTGTGATAAGGCAAGTTTTTGATACCCAGATCTTGAACTTGCTGTGACCGAAAGGAGCTAGCCCCTAGAAATGTAGACTATCACGAGGCCATGCTCTTGCACTTTGCTCTCGCCCTACTATCGATCAATCTGCCTGAAGTTTTTTCAGAGAAATTCTCATTTGAAAATTTTGTTTATGTACTACGGTACTACTACCTAAGGGCGAGAGTATGGGCTCTCGATAGAGTATGCGCTTGTCAGGGTATACTCACACTAGCACTTTCCTAAATGTATCTGACTGCAAAATTATGTCCAAAGCTGGATGAACTTGACTGCAATCACGTCCTGAGCTTAGTAGAAAAGGTACTGGTAACTGGTGTGAGTATGCTCTCAGTCTCGAAATAGGAGGAGCTTCTTGAGCGTGGTATCGGCTGTGGCTGTGGGTGAAAACCGCACTCCCATTTTTGTCTGTTGTCGCCAATCCTTGCAATTCTTCTGTCTAACATCCACCTCTTGGTGAAACTTTCCCTCGTCTCCAGCAATATTTTTGATTTGTTGAATTTTGTTCTTAGTAACTTCTTACTAAGTTACTACCTTCTTCACCCGTGTACAACATATGGTTATCATAGCGCGCTGTATTTGGGGCATCTTTCAGTCTTAAATTCTTAATACATCAAATAATGACCCTACGTTCGTTGTACTCGGTGAAGAAGTTAGTCGTCAGATCCAGCACCAACTCTTTTGCTTTTTCTGTCTGGGTTTTTGGCCGCAATGAGCTCCTTTGCTCGACCCCATGCAGCTTCCTCTTGTACCTTCTGCTTGTCAATTGCTGCTGCGCACCTTCTTGTCCACTCAGTTACAGCACCAGTACAGCACACGCATCGGCCCACGGGTGTCAGCATGAAACCTGCACCACTTCGGAGGCCGCCAATTCTTTTTTTTTCAACGGCGCCCCTGGCTGCGCAGCGCCTCATGACAAAAAACTTTCTGCAAGGCTGGGGCCGTGTACTCGTGGTTTATTAACCCACGGGGCTATGGTCAAGACCCCAGTCGAGCTCTATCTCAGCACCTGTTATGGTTCAAGCTCTGTTCAACATGAGGTGGGTTTTCTGATGATGTTGAACCTTACCCTAGCTAGTTGAGGGGAGGGGCGCACAGGGACGGAGACTGCCATATTCCTTTGGCTCTATCCCAGCACTATTCAGCGTCAGAGTGCCAGAGGATATGGTTTGGAGAACCTTCAGGTCTATACCATCTTGCAAATTCAGCAGGTCTATTCCATCTTGCACATTCAGGTCTATTCCATCTTGCACATTCAGCAGGTCTATTCTATCTTGCACATTGAGGCACAGCTCTGAGCTGTAGGGATTGGAGTGTTTTGAACTGTTTTCTTCTTTCATATGGCTACTGGTTTGGAGTTCGGCATATGCTAACAGCCGTGGAAAGCTGGCACTTTAGGCTTGTCTACCTTCCCGTTTTGGGGGTTGTCTTCTAGATTCGACCCCATCGCCCTCTCGTCACATAGCCCACCTTTTTCTGTGACCCCTGAAGTGGCTACAATGTCATCATTCTTTTAAAATTTTAAATTTTAATTGAATTTTGTTTTCCCCCAAAAGAGGCAGTACTGAACTGAACATTATTTAGTCCGTTAAGATTTGAATGTGTAATTTGTTTATCAGTGGTCACATGTGTGTACAATTGAGCCACAAGAATGCCTTTGTGTCAATCATGAATAGAATTTGAGATCTCAAATGTCTTGGTACGCACCTATGGGCCAATGACTCGAGTTTTGTTCGAGGTTTGCCCCTGCTGTCTTCATTTGGGCAGGGCAATAATGAACTGCACAAAGCCTCCCTTCTCCATCGACATATTTCAATCCCCATGGCATTTGACACTCTGTGTGCGCGTGTGTGTATGTGTGCGTATGTCTGTGTGTTGGCCTGGGGATGGGCGTTGGCGTGTGTGTGCATGCGGGCATGTGTGTGTGTGTGTGTGTGTGTGTGGTCCTTGCCTCCAATCTGGATCTGTTGAAGCTTGGAATGAGGACGGCAATCCTTCTTCATGGTCCAGCAGGTGTGGGAAAACGGACCTCCACAAGGGCCGCTGCAAAGCGACTGGGAGTTCATCTTGTGGAGGTAAAAATACCAGAGAACAGTAGACCTGATCCTCTCAACCAAGGGCCGCTCCAAAGAAACGACCGGGTTCGACGAAAATGGGTCTGGGACAGTGGTGGTTTGAGCTTCCTTACCTTTCAGATGTTCTCAGAGCGTGAACTGATCATGTCATGCTCGAGTGTAGTTGGATGAATGATGGCAGGGTTTTGATTGCATAGTTTGAGTCGTATGCTTTTTTACGGACACAAGCTGTCATAGTATAATAGACACCATGTTTTTTCATTCTCTTTTGGTACCCTTCTTCGTTCAGCAACACTCCTTAGCTATGAGATACGAATTACTGGATATCTCTGTCAATTGAAGTGAGTTCGGTTTTACACTGCTAATGATTAGTGGGCCTCTCTAATCATCATCAGCAGCAGCAGCATCCACGTCATCATCCTTGTCGTCGGCATTGCTGTTGTCGTCATAGAGATCACTGTCTAAGGTGGCCATCCTGACCAAAGAACCAGAACAAATGTTGAAATGAGACAGGATCTCCTTCTCGTCCTCGTCCTCGTCCTCGTCCTCGTCCTCATCCTCATCGTCGTCGTCCTCATTGTTGTCGCTGTTGTCATCATCGCCACCATCATCTTCATCGTCATTGTCATCATCATCGGCTGACAGGTCAAGTGCAGGCACCTGGGGGCAGGTGCCTATGGACCTCTGCTATGCCCCAGCCCAGCATCAAACTGAGGCTATCGTAGTGATGGCCCAATGGCGTAGGGGTGGTGTTGGGTAGAGAGGCACCTTTCATACTCGCTCTGAGCTTTGAGCTCTGCCAGCATCACGGTAGCTTTGTTGTGATGCCAAAGTTGCATTCTGTGCGCACAGAGGCAGTCAGCTGGACTCTCTTCAGCACTTGCATGGAAACCCTAGGAGCCTGCACGTTGGACATGTTGGTAAATAAGTTTGACTAACATTGACATTTTCATCAGTTTATCCAACGTGCAGTCAAACTTATTTACCAACAGTAATATATGAAAGGAAGTCTGAATAAACCAACAGTAATAATAGGCACCAAGGAAAAACAAACTGATGTGGTTAGTTTGTAACTTTGTGTTTACTGATAAGCCTTGCAGCTTACATGTTTTTGGTAAGCGAAAATCAGTAACACATCAGTAACAGTAACTTTGTCAAATAACTCTAGTAAACTGCAGGCCTATCAGTAACATGTCAAATTATTTTTTCCACTTTGGACATGTTAGTAAACGAACCGAAAAAAAATCAGCGGAAAAATGGAACTTTGTGAAATAACTATAGGCCCTGTGTAGGGTAACATGTATATGTAATTATTAATTTATTATTTATTATTTTAATATTTTGTATATGGCACTGTTACTACCACTGTACACATTGTTCTTGTCTTTTTTCTGTAGGATTAATAAGAATTAGCAAATGACAAGTTAGTAAGCATACATAAGATTAAACATGACATGGGCCCTTGAAGATGGAAAGCGTAGACGTGTGACACTTTGCGCCTCGGTTGTAGGCAGCGAGGGGGAAAAAATGAAAGGAGAAAAAGTGCACTGGTGATTGGAACGTGTAATGATCACTATTGTCTTTCCCTTTTTTTGCTATTTTCTAAACTTTTTTTTGAAATAAAAGGGCGACGGCCTTGAGATATCATCGTTGAGCTGACCGACCGGGCCCAGGTAATCCAGAATTGTGTTATTCTGGGCATCTGATTGTATCTGGAGCTCGAGTCTGTATTTCAACAGTTTGTGGGTGTACCAACTGAGCTAGGGTCGTTGGTATACGGCTCATGCATTACATGAGTGTACACGACTGGACCTGTAGCTTGTGTACGTCCACGATGAGGGAGCATTGTGCTGAGGGGAAGATGCGAGCTGTGTGTTTGCAACGGCGTGTGTCCATGCTTTGCAGTCTGTTGAGGTCTATTGCTCTCTTAAGTTGGCTAAAGCCCAATGGAGCAATTGCAACTTGTTATGTTTTTTTCCGAGTCTTGTTATGACAGTTGCTAGTTGTAGTCATGTACTTCTAAGCAGTCTATAGAATCATATAGAATCGTATAGAATCGTATAGAATGTATAGATGTATGTACGTAGCGATTTGAGGATTTGGGTATGTATGAGAATACTATGGGTGGGGCTAGGAAGAAGCTGTGGTGCTTAGACATGGGAGGAGTTCGGTGCCAACCCATAACCCATAACTCTTAGGGCGCCCTAGCTTGTGTGCATAGATATGCTGCAACAATCGATACTCGGAGCTGGACTTAGAAGATAAGAGGTTAGGTAGAGTGAGGTATATGAGTGAAGAACATAGATTAGTTAAAAAAAATAATAATAACTACGTAGTACGTATGGGTTATTCATGTATGCATGTTCATAGTTCAGTCTTCAATGCTTATATGTGGTGTTTGTGACTGTTCGAGTATACGGATTTATTGAGATTCTTCCTGATTGTTTTGAGCGGTGGTCGGTCCTAGGTGAACTGCTACAGTTTGCTACGGAGCTCGGATGCGAAGATGGCCTCGGAGGTCACTCGTGCCTTCAAGACAGCTGCGCAGTATGGTTTCTAATTCCCTCCCACCTTTCCCCTTCCTTTTGGTATCCCGTTTACATCATTTTTCCCCTTTTTCCCGTGCATTTTGGCAAATTTTCCTGTTATTGGCATGTGGAGTGGATTCTTTCGTTTATGGATGTGCATGGGGGGAACCTGAAGGAGGTGGTTGAGGAACTGATTGAAAAAACGATCTAATTGAACAGGAAGTAGCATGAAAGTGTATGTGTAGTATAATGTAGTCCCACCATTCTTACAGTTGACTGAGTTGAGAGCATGCCTCATCTACACTCCATAAGCCTACTCACGAACTGTACAGTTACTGCAGTAAATATCCTTCGGAGTTATGATTGTGAAGCATTATTGCTCCAGTTAATATCACAGGTGATTGCAATTCAATAGCAGTTGATTCCTCTACAGGCACAAACTCCTACGAAGTTGGTCACTGCTTTTTTTCTATAATCTCATCTCATCTCATCTCATCTCATCTCATCTCATCTCATTTCATCTCATCTCATCTCATCTCATCTCATCTCAATATATCTCTCTCTGCCTACGGTTTACCGGGCAGTATGAGTCGGTGAAACTCCGACGAAACAGTTTGTCACAGCCCCTCGTTTGTTGTCCTCTTCTCTCTCTCTGCCTACG